ATATATATTTAAGGCCCCTTGGGCGGTTTTTTCTCTTGTGCCCTGAAATTGACAAGGAGTTCTGCTCATTAGTTTCAGTATATTACCCATTGGAAAAAGAACATGTTATTCAATGAAGCGCTGGGGTGAATTAGAAAGTGTGAGGCCTTTATGTCAAGCACAAAAATTGTGTTGGAGACTTTATGTTAAATTAAATACATGATCATATTTTAATACCATTTGGAGAAATTACTATTGCATTTCTAAAAACTTGTAGCACCATATCATGTGTATTAATTAGTTTTAACTTTGAATTGAAAAGTGTAGTTAGCTAAATTGCATTCAATTAACATTTTTAGAAGATCATGGGCAAGCTTTTTAATTGACATGCTTAAAATGGCTTATTAGTGATATTAGAAACACACATTACTTGCAAAGAAAGTGATACTCTAGCCTCACAGTTTGAACATTGTGTAAGTCAAATATAGGGGTAAAAATGATAAATTGTGTGTGCGCGCACGCTAAATAAAGAAATTAAAATTCTTGCATGGTGAAAAGTGATAAATTGCATTTATACATTAATTGATTGCACGATAAAAGTGATGAATTGCATTTATACATCAATTGCTAGCATGGTAAAAAGTGGTGAATTGCATTTATACATCAATTGCTAGCACGGTAAAAATTGATAAATTGTATTTATACATCAATTGATCAAATCACCAAACTAACATAAGACATTAAATGAAAGTAAGATATAAGATGTGTTTAATGTAGATTCGTACTCAAACCGTCTAATATTAGAGAAAAAAACCTAAGCTAGAGAGGCTCACTTCTCAGCGAAATTGAGATGAGATGGACCTTGAGGTGCACTGCAACCAATGTGAAGCGTATGCCTTGCCTGAACTGCTCGGGCGTATGCCTCAAAGCGTTTTTCGTTATAATTGCGCTGAGCCTACCTTTGATTGGACAATTTCAAACAATGCTTGTAGAAAAGCAAACATGTTGCTTTGTGGCGTTGTGCGTTGAACTCTATATCATGACAAAATTTTAGTTCAAATTTCATGCTTCGACTTAGTATTGTTGTAATAGCCAATCACTAGAATTCACTTATTCTCATTATTTTTACGTAGTTATTCAGTTTTTATTTTTTTATTCTTCATTCTATCTGATTGATGATATTCCTTTCTTGGTGATTCTTCTCATTGTTTCCTCTTTCCAATTAGTCTTCTTAGATGCTTCTTAGTTACTTTTTGTTGTTAGTTCTAGCATTCTCTCACTCATAATTTTTTTCTCAAGGATGATTTTATATGCCGCATGTTCTCATTCTTTTTCACTTCACATTATCTCCATCTATGTTCCTCTCGTTAGCAGCTCATACTCGTTACTATTCTTGATTTTTGAAGTTTTATTTGATTAGTTCCTTATTTATGCCTTTTATCTTTTTATTTATTTATAGATAGTTTGAAATTACATATACTTAACATATCATTATAACCGTTCAAAATTATTATTTCATGTGGTTAAGCATGCTTGATTGAATGGCCCGTTCTGTGCTTATATTATATGTATATATGATATACTAGTTTTGAATATTCTAGTTCATAGAAGTGTTGTTTTGCTTTATGCTTTATGGGCGGAAAGGAACCCTATCAAATTTTGCTTGATGTTTTGAAAATAATGTGTCTAATTCTACCTCTTAAAATTATTTAGTGTATTCATTTGCAATCATGTTATAAATTTTCTTTACTACATGCATTATGTCTTAATACACTATTCATTACTTATACACACACACACACACACACACATAGATATATATATATGATTTGTATGAAAATATTCGTTGGAACCTTGTTGTTAACTATGGTAATTATATGACTATTAAAGATGGCAACAAAAGATGCGTGGAATTGAAAAGAGATACATTAGTGGTCCACCTATATACAGAAAGGCTTATTTTAGGAACTCTTAAGAAATTAACATTTAGAAAGAAATGCCATATGAAGGTATACAATGAAAGCGAATGTTTCATTCAAATACAAAATTTTTCTTCAGGAACCTTTTCAAAATTTTCAAAATTATTTGGTAGAGAAATAGATCATATAAAGTTATTAAATGAATTTGGATGACTGTTGATTGGTTTGAAATCCTAATTTTTTTTTTATTATTCTAAATTTAAATATATTTGATTTGACTTCAAATCATGATCCACCAACCAATGCTTTAATTTTTCTATGTTTTTCACTCATTTGTTGGACTCATATCCAACACATCATCCACACAATTTTTGTACAATTATATTAATTTTGTGCCAAAAATTATAATAGATGATGAAATCATGTTCACTACTGATTATGTATATCTATTGTATCTTGTGCAATAGAAAGATCAACATGCATGTGATGTTTTTTGAATATCTCTGCAAGAAGTTTAATAAATATGTTTATATCTGTAAAATGAATGTCAACTTAACAATTTGGCAAAATCAAATTTTATAAGTGTAAGCAAACTATTATAAGCATGTTTATGCTTATTTATTTAAATTATTGAACAAATTTTAACATTTTAAAGCTCAAATAATAATTAAATAAACTTGGGCTTTGGCTTATTTATTCCTGTTTGTGGTCATGTTCGTTAGTTTCTTATCAAGAAGCTCGCAAAATACTTAATAAAATACACATTTAATAATATTTTCATTGCCTATATGAATTCTTATTTCATTTCTGTATAAACTCTTATGCCTTGTACATATAAAAAATTGTGTATACTACTTAGATTTGAATATTAAGGCTATATGTTTAAACCATTAGCAATATTATGTATATTTTGATTTGATTGAGCTCTTAATTACTAATGAGATATCATGATATGATATCAATAATGTAAACATAGTTAGACTCAACTTTTGATGGCTTGGATTATGTTCAAGCTTAACTTTGATTATGTTCAAACATGACTTGAAGTTTATAAGAAAATAAATGATTGAGCTTGAACAAGGTAATACGTAGCTTGAGCTTGCTAACTTAAATTTGTATCAATTTTTTTCCTCTGAGCAAAATTAATGTGAGTTTCAAAGTTCATAGTTTTCAAAAATGCCAAAATGTTTCAGTTATGATATCTTACATTAATTATAAATTTATATAAAGTTTAATTTAAAGTTTAATATAATTTTTATAGCACCCCTTACATTTTTTAGTCGGTCCACACAAATTACTAAGGCTATTTCTTTCTTGTCACCTCACACCTTCTTAAATCCCTTTTCGTTCTTAAATCCCTTTTCGAGAACATAGAGTCAATTGATGGATTCCGTGCATGCGAGTAAGAAGACAAAAAACAACTAAGCGTGACCAACCATGGTTGTGGTACCTTAGTCTATTGGTTGACAGTTTAAATTTCGAGGCCTTATATACGTGATGTGTGTGAGTTTGTTATTAAATTTGCTCAAGTTTCCGAAAAAAAAGCGTGATTGTGGGAAATCAAAGAAATAATTTGTATTTCGCCTTATTCTTTGAATTGATTATACAAGGTATTATATAGGAGATTAAAAGGAGAAAAACTAGGAAACTATTTAACTAATTCCCTTAATTTAAGGGATTATAAATTTATTCTAATTTCCCTTAATTTAAGGGATTACAAATTTATTCTAATTTTCTTAATTTAAGGGATTTACCAATTAATTCTAATTTTCTTAATTAAGGAAATTAGAATTAATTCTCACAACTTTGTTTCCATCTCATTCACATCTCGACACTCCCTCGAGGAATAGTTGTCTTCCATTCCCAGCTTGGATACAAGATCATGGAAACTTGAACTGTTCAGCCCCTTAGTTAGAACATCGGCTAATTGTCTTTCTGATGGAACATAGGACATACACACTAACCCTTCCTCCAGTTTTTTTTTGATGAAATGTCTATCAATCTCAATATGCTTTGTCCTATCATGTTGTATAGGATTATGAGCTATATTAATGACAGACTTGTTGTCACAGTAGAGCTTCATAGGGCCCTCCCATGGGATTCTTAAATCATCCAAGATGATTCTCAGCCACAATAATTCACATAATCCTTGAGCAATAGCCCTGAACGCTGATTCTGCAGATGACCTTGCCACTACATTCTGCTTCTTGCTCCTCCATGTCACTAGGTTACCTCTAAGGAAAGTACAATATCCTATAGTTGATCTTCTATCCACTATGGAGCCATGATAGTCAGCGTCGGTGTAAGCTTCCAGAGTAAGAGTGTCATTCCTTTTGAACAAGATTCCTTTCCCCGGAGATTCCTTCAAGTAATGCTATACCCTGTAGGCGGCCTGAATATGAGGTTCTCTAGGATCATGCATGAATTGACTGATCATACTTACAGAATATGCTATGTCTGGTCGAGTGTGAGCAAGGTATATGAGT